CCCCGAGGCTGGTCCACCCAGCCGTCCTTGTCTGCCTCGGGCTTCGCCTTGCCGTGGGGTGACCCCAGCGCCCAGGGCGGCGCGGCATACCCACAGCTGAGACACGTGGAGCGCCAGTCCCAGTTCCAACTACCGCAGCTGCACATCCAATAGGTCCTGCTGCGCCCTCCACTGCTGCCGCCACGCTGGGGCCTCGCCATGGCGCCCGCTGCGCCGCCCGCAGGGCCACGCCCCCACGCTGCGAGAGCAGGAAGCACAGCAAGAAAATGCACTGGCCCAAAGCGCGGAGACCCTCGCGCTCAGAACGCCGCGAACGACTTGCGGTCGTCGGGCTCTCCATGGCCTTGAGCCAAAATGGCTACGGACTCTCTGGCTTGCTCTCTCCGACGTTCGTTGGAGCTCTGCTCACATGCTTCGCTGGACGTCGGGCTTGCTGCTGCTACTCTGCTCACAGCTGCGCCATCCTCGCTGAGAGATGTGCCTGAAGCTTCCGCTCCAGCGCTGACACTAACAGAGCTCCGATGATCGGCTGGCCGCCGCCGTTGGTCAGGGCCACGTGTGCGGCCTGCCGCAGGTGGCAGATCGGGATCGTCTGCAGTTTGAAGGGTGCCTTGCACTGCTCCTCCCGCTGCTGGCTGATCTGGGCCTCGTGCTCCTCCTTCCATGGGCTGAGCGCCAGCGCGTTGAACATGAGGTGTACCTTCCAGCGTGTCGTTTGGCCCGCCTCGCTGTAGTCCTTCTTGGTCCTGAAGTACAATATGATGTCCCGGAAGGTGTCCGGCTGAATAACGCCGATCACCATGGCGAAATACTTGAGGGTCTCTCTATACGGCTTAGGCATCGAGTTCAAGTCGGCCAACTCCAGAAAGAACGTCGGCCCGATGTCGAGGTGCGGACAGCCCTTGTTTGCCTTGAGGAGGAGAAGCCAGAAACCTGCAGTCGCCAAGGGGCCTGCATTCACCAGTCACTGGTGAGCTGGCTGCGAACTGTAATCTGTCTCCAGAATACCGCAAGGCGAGCCTCGTCCTCGCAGCAACAGCTGTGGCAGCACTCATGCAGAGTGCGGGCGGGGCCCGCGATTTCGCGCACGCATGGAGCGATGTCGCAGACTGGCGTGCTGGCGGCGCGTCTCGCCTTCCTCCGGGGCTGCTGCGGCCCTGTCGCGGCCGACGGCGGTGCGCACCCAAGCCGACACTGGCCGAACATCCCCGCGGGTTCCGACCACGGGGATGCATGGGACGACGACGCGGAGCGCGCCCCCAGGGTGGTCGCAATCGTCGGCGCCTCAAGCTTCCCACGGTTGCTCTGCTCGCAGGATCTCACGAGGCGTTTGTCTTTGTATGCTCTGGAATGCACACGGTGGCGAGCGCAACGATCTAAGTCGTACGTCGATTTAGCTTCCACCACGCCGCTGCACACTTTGTAGCTGTCTGCGTGCGTCACTGCAACCAGGAACCTTTGTTCTGGCCGCGCCTTTCGTAGACACCCCGACTTCCAATCTTGGCAATACGTTGCCTCCGACCGAACCTTGAGAGGTTATTCAGTCGATTGAGCACAACAGGCGCTAGCGCTAGGCTATGAGCCGCGTCCTATGGGCGGTTGAAAACACGTCCTGCTGAGGCGCAGTGGAGGTTGCTTGCTCCTGGACCGCCACCATGGTGCAGGCTGGCCCTGTCCTGTTTAAGGATATTTCCGAGCGGGCCACCGCAATAGGGTCTGACAACACCCTTTCAGGATGGATCGATCTGCCATTCGAGAGACATAGCTTTGGCCCCCGTGTGGGAAACATGTTCCTGCGTCAACACCCGCTGGCTCGTGCTGCGGATGCCTCTGCTGGAGGAGCGGAAGCACCAACCACCACGCAGGATCGGAGCCACGAAAAGCTCGACTGACGCGAACAAACACTTTCAAAACATGGAACGAACGACTCAAACACATTTGTTGGCGTCCGGGTCGCTGGCAACGGCCTGGCCGCCTCGACGGCGACGACGACGACGAACCGGGAAGCTCGTTTTAAATCGTCCACTTCCCAGCGCGGCGCTGCGACACCCCAGAGTATTCCTTCCATGGTGCGGTCGAAATGCCGTTGTGGTGCACGGAGCGGTACACGGAAAGTCGTGGGAAGGGCAGCTTGACGAAGCGGGGACTCGGTGCCTACGCGTCGCAGAGTCGGCCCGTTCGAGCTCTTCTTGCCTCTGCAATCTGCAGGTCGTCAGGGGCCGCTCCCCACCAAGTGGGGTGCCCTTGGCATAGTGGCTCTGAGCCGAGCTGGTGACCGTGAGCCAACGGCTTCTGCAACATAACCGGCCGGACAACATCCATAACCGAACCAGAGCCCGAACCGAACTGGCCGGACGGGCCCGAACGACCATACAATCCTTTGAACTAAACCCTCCGTCGAAGCCGAACTGGCGCAACCGAAGTGGCCCGCCGCCGAACCGACCCTGCCCGACCCAAACGGGCCGGGTTCATCCTGCCTTGGGCGGCAAGTCTCAAATTGTTAAAGTCAGCGGGAGCAACCGAGCCGAAGCAGGTGCAGGCGCCGGTCGGGCTACGGGCACGGCGGCCATTCATTCTCACAGGCGTAGCAGGAGAGCAACATGGGAGCAGAGCAGGTATCAGCTGCAGCTCATACAATCATGTCCACCTCGTCCTGCTTATCATCCTGATTTCAGCTCCTGCTCCTATCCATCCAGGCATACCTCCCGCTACAGCCACTCCCTCTCCTGCTCTTCCTGCACCTCCTGCTTCTCGTCTCTCTCGTCCTCGTCTCGTCCTTCCCATTTTCAGTCATCCGATTCCTCCTCCACATCCTTCTCCGCCCCCTCTCCTTTGCGCCTTTCCTAGCCCCTAGCCGCGTCCATCGTTCCTGACTCCTCGACCCACGCTCCCCATCCACCTTGTGTTGCCCGTTTCTCCTCCGCCCCTGTTCCTGCCCCAGTTTCTCCTCCATGCACTTCTCATCACCTCCCTGGGCCTGCTCCAGCTCCTGCTCATCATGCTCCTGCTACTTCAGCGCCTCCATCTGCGCCATCCACCTTGTGTTGCCCGTTTCTCCTCCGCCCCTGTTCCTGCCCCAGTTTCTCCTCCATGCACTTCTCATCACCTCCCTGGGCCTGCTCCAGCTCCTGCTCATCATGCTCCTGCTACTTCAGCGCCTCCATCTGCGCATTACAACTTTACCATCATCAATTATGTTTATCCTGCTGCTGCTCTCCTCCTCTTGCTCGAACTCCTCTCTGCCCTACATGTTCTCCCCGCTCCACCTCCTCTTCTACCTCCTCGTCATCAAATTGCCCATCAGACTCCCTCGCCATCTTCAGTACCTCCCAATGCTTCTATGCTGCCTTAGCTGCCTGGTCCGTCTCACTGTCACCCACGATGTGACTGCAACTGTGCCCCCTGGCACGTGGAGGCGTGGTCGAATGCGGAGTGCTGTCTGACAGGGCCTCTGCAAGTCGTTCCCCCCCCTCAGACCACGCCTGGCAACTCGCACGCCCCCCCCCCCCCGCCCCCAGACCCTGTCTCCTCTCAACGGAGCACCCTCCCAAGCTGCCCCCCACCCCCCACCCCCGTAGAAACCCCTCCGGGGCGAACCACGAGGGCATCCCCCAGCGCCGAAACGCTCCAGGGCCGAGAACCTCTCCCGAGCGCTCCCGTTCGAGCCACCGGAAGCCCCTCCCGGCCCGCCTGCGGCTGCCTGGGCGTCCCGCCACCCTCTGGGGCCCACCACGGTCCCCCCGAGGCCTTTCGGAGACGGCCGAGGAAGCGGCCGAGAGCGACCAAGGCCGCCGACGCGGCCGAGCACTGCCTCGAGAGGCACCAGGCCGCCCCCAAGGGGTGCAAGAGCGGCCGCAGAGGGCCTCCAGCACATCGAGGAGGAGGAGGAGGAGGAGGAGGAGGAGGAGGAGGAGGACCTCCAGATGAGCGACTCAACCACGGATCTTACGCGAGATGACGCAGCGACCTTCTTGCGGCGGCTTGCGCGGAGCGATCTACTGGAGACGAGGGAGCTTACGCGCGACCTTACGCGGGCAGCTTGCACGCCAATGTCGGCGCAGTAATGGGACCCCGTTCATCAGCGTCGCTCACCTGGACCTCCAGACGGCCAACTCCGTAAAACAAATGGAGAACCCTTAGGCCTTCACAACTATGTTGCGTTTCCTGGGCCTTTTGGCTCCAAGGCGGTTCCGAGAGGGCCTGGGAGGAGACAAAGAAAGGCCAAGAGAGCCCAATGAGAGCCTCCAGAAGCCGCCCAAGCGGCCCAGGACCAGGACAGCCCAACCGAACCCCAAGATGGCTCAAAAGGCCCCCAAAACAGCCCCAAGAGACGCCTCAGATGGCCGAGACGGGCCCTAGGCAGCACCGAGACGGAAGACGCCCCAAGAGGGTCCCCAGAGAGCGCCAAGAAAGCCCCACGAGGGCCCCTCAAGAGCCCAATACACCCTAAAGACGGCCCAAGTAGCCCCCACGAGAACCTCTCAAGGAATACATGTATGTAGTATATATGTACAACTATAAAGAGAGAAAGGACGTCACATGTTACGGCCTTCTGGGCGGTGACCAACACGTCGCCGAACAGTGCCGCGCTGACACGGTGGCGGGATTTGCCGCAGGCGCGTGGCTACCCACCACCCTCTTTCTCCTGCCCCTCCTCGTTCTCCATTCCTCGCATTCTCCTCTTACGGCTCCTCATGATGCTTCTCTTTCTCCTCGTCCATGCCCTTGTCATCGGCCTCCTCCTCCTCCTCCTCCTTTCCTCATTTGCGTGCCCGTCCTCGCCCACCTCCCCCTCCTCTTCCTGAATCCTGCTGGCCCTGGCCCTGCTTCCGCACCTCCTAAATGCCTCCCGTCACTTGGTCGGCGACGCCCTTTTCTGCGCGCTTCTCCACGATTAGGCGGAGCAGCAGCAGCAGCAGCAGCAAGGGCGGCGGCCGCCGCAAGACCCATTTCCGGCGCGCCGCACCGCCAGGGCCATGGCCGCCTCCTCCCCCAGAGCGTTATCGAACCGGGGTCGCAGGCGTCTCCTGGCCGATGAGGGGAGACCCCACTCCTTCCACCTCCTCCTCCACCTCCTCCCCCTCCTCCTCTTCCTCTTCCTCCTCCTCCTCCTTCTCCTCCTGCTCCTCCTCCTCTCCCTGCGCCTTCCTCCTCCCCTCTCCTCTTTCAGCTCCTCCTGCGGAGAGTTCATCCGGCTCCTCCTGCCCTTGCCCACTTTTCCTGCTGTTGCTGCCGCGGCTGCCGCTGCCGCTGCCGGGTCTGCGCCTCCGCCTGCCGTTCGCGCCCGCCTCTCCCCCTGTCGCTCACTGCTGCCCATCCTGCTGCCTGAAGCGCTGCTGCGCCCCCCCCCTCAAGAGTTGGACCGGGTCTGGGACACAGCCTCCTTGTCCACAGCCTTGTTTTCCGTTTCCTTCCCGATCGTTCCTCTGGTGCTTCCCATTTTCTGTCCCCTCACCTCTGGCGCGTATCTGCGAGGATTCCCTGGCGCCTCGCGAACATCTTTCGGGGGGCCATTGAAGCTCTTTGGGAACCACACACAGACACACACACACACGCACACACACAAGCAACCAACCAACCAACCAACCAACCAACCACACACGCACGCACGCACGCACACGCACACGCAAAGACTATACATACATGTGTATATATATAAGCACAGGAACACTGAAATATCTGTGCCATGTCCGACGGTGTCTTGCAGAAACGCCACAAGGACAACGTAGAATGTTCAATTTCCTGGTCGGATCTCTAGGCGGCATGTGTTGCGACAAATGTGCGCGCTGCGTTTGGGCCGCAATTTGCCGCTGAGTGGGCGGCAGGCGCAATATAGAGTAGTGGGCATGTTCCTGGTCCGACCATTTCTCTCATCATCCCGATCCTGCTCGTCCTCCGCCGCCCGCTCCCGCCTGCTGCTGCTGATCGCCCTCTGCCGCGCCAGGTTGCTTTCGGCGGTCCGGGATACTTGGCAGGCGAAACAAGGAATCTCGTGCGCGCGTGAAGAAAGTGCCCACGGCGCGCCCTTGCCACCCGCGACGCCCGCATCGTCGCCAGCGCTCAAAAGCTAGGCGGCCGTTGATCCACGCGGGGGAGACCCGAGGTGCCTCCCAGGCCCTCTCCAAAGCGGACCAACCAGGAAGGCTCAACATAGCCCCGAAACGGCTCAAAACGACCCCGGCATGGGCAGAGAGTCCGCGAGGACGACCTCAAGGCGGCGCGAGCGGGGCCCAAGGTGGCCGCAAAAACGCCACAAGCTGGCCTTAGCAAGTCCCAGAATGATCCATTGGGGGACGCGCAGAGGGGGGGCAATTGAAGACCTAGGACGGCCCAACGGGCACGTGGGCAGCGCAGACCTCGCCGGGAGCGGCCGCGCACGCGCCAGCGTGAGCGCGTCGGGCGATGCTGAGCTAGTTGACTGACACGTGATCAAACCCAATGTGAACTCAGACGCCCAATCAGTCACCGCTGAAGGACCACTTTACTTCCCATGCAAACGTGGCGCCTTTTCTATTGCGGGCAATCCAGAACCCACCACGCTCGGCCGCGCGTGCTCGCGCGTACGCGCGTCGGGCGCTGAGCCAGGTGACCGACATGTGATCCGACCCATGTAGCTCGGAAATCCAATCGGTCGCCGCTGAAGGGTCTCTTCCATATCCAGGCCGACATGGCGACTTTCCTGTGGTGTGCAATACAGAACTCACCACGCGCGGCCGCGCGCGCGTGCGCGCGCAAGGGTCACTTTTCAGGCCAACGCGGTGAATTTCCAATTGCATGCAATGCAGACGTCAACGCGCGCGGCAGCGCGCGCGGACCCGCGTCGACCGCTGAGCCAATTGACCGACGCGTGATCACACTCATGTTAACTCGGAACTCCAATCGGCCACGGTGAAGTTCCCAAACCAACATGATGACTTCTCTTTTGTGGGTAATACACAACTTACCACGCGCGGCCGCGCGCGCAAGCGCGTCGGACGCTTAGCGGATTCGCTGGCACGTGGCAAAACCCATGTTAACTCGTGATTGCTGTCAATCACGGCGCGAACGTGGCGCCTTGTCTTGTGGGCGTTGCACAACTCACAACGAGCGGCCGCGCGCGCGTCGGGCACTGAGTCACTTGGCCGGAACTCATGTTAACTCAAACATTCAATCGGCCACCTCGAAAGACTCATTGTAATTTCGAAACCAGCACGGCGACTTTCCTAGTGTTGGCCATGCGCAACTAACCGCGCCAGGCCGCGCACGAGCGTGCGCGCGTCGGGCGCTGAACGAATTCACTGGCACGTGATCAAACCCAAGATAATTAGGATTCCATATCGGTCACCACGGTGGGGTCGCTATCGTTCTCATGCCAACCTGTGGCCTTTTGTACTGTGGGCAAGAAAGGACTCGCCGCGCACGACCGCACGCGCGCGTGCGCGCGTCGGGCGCTGAACCGCTTGACCTGCATGTGCAAAGACCCATGCAATCTTGGAAATGCTACTGGCCAGCGCTAAACGACCATTTTAGTTCCCAAGACAACACGGCGACCCCTCTAGTGGACAAGATCAAACTCACCGCGCGCGCGCTTCGGACGCTACGCCATTTGACCGACACGCGGTCATGCCCATGTTAGCTCGGAAATCCACTCGCTCACCGCTACGGGGTCACTCTAGCTTCCAAGCCAACATTGCGACTTTTCTATGTCGTGGGCAACGCAGACCTCACCGCGCGCGGCCGGGCGCGCGTGCGCGCGTCGGGCGCTGAGTCGATTGGCCAGAATAAGACCGGACCCACAGTATCTCGGAAATCCAATCGGCCATTTCTTCAGGGGCACGGTAGTTCCCCAACCGACATAGCGATTTCACTTTCGCGGCAATACAGAACACACCTCGCGCGGCCGCACGCACGCGCGTGCACGCGTCGACCGCTGATCTAAGTCACCGCCACGTGATCACGCCCATGTTAACTCGGAAACCGAATCGGTCATCGCTGAGTGACCGCTGAAAACGCCAGGCCAACGTGGCGACATTTCTACTGCGGGCGATGTGCAACCCGCCGCGCGCGGCCGCGCGCGCGCGCGAGCGTCGGGCGCTGAGCCGATTCACCGACGCGAGATCGGGCCCAAGTTGTCTCGGTGCCCGCCACCGCTTCGGGGCCACTTTAGTATCCAAGATAACATGGCAACTCCTCTATTGCGGGCGATGCTGAACTCGCCGCGCGCGGCCGCGCGCGCGTCGGGCGCTAAACCAAGTGACCCGCACGTCATCAGACCCAAGTTTTCTCGAAAATCCAATCGGTCACCGCTAAGGGCCCGCGTAAATCCACGAGCCAACATATCGATTTCACTCGCGCGACCAACGTAGAACACACCACGCGCGGCCGCGCGCGCCGAACGCTGAACGCATTGGTCGACGTGCGATCGGACCCGCGTTAGCACGGAAGTCCAGTCGGTCACCGCCAACGGATCATTATACATTCCATTCGTGCGCGCGTGCGCGCGTCGGGCGCTGGGCCAATTAACCAGCGCGTGATCCGACGCATAAAAGCAAAGAGAACACATGGGCAACCGCTATGGAGTCACCGTAGTTTCCAGGCAAACATGGCGACGCTTCTACAGTGGGCCACGCAGACCTCACCACGCGCGGCCGCGCGCGCGAATGCGGGCGTCGGGCGCTGAGCCGCTTGGCCGACGCGCGATAATGCCCGCGTTGACCCGGGAATCCAACCAGTCACCGCCACGGGGTCACTTTGGTTCCCAAGCCAACGCGGCGACCTTCTATTTCGGGAAATGCAAAACTCACCGCGCGCGGCCGCGCGCGCTAGGGCGCGCGCGCGACAGGCGCTGATTTGTTGCATGTTGCGCAGTGCTTGAAAATCTTTCCCGCGCCGCCCTGGGCGCGCCCCGCGGGGCGCGTGGTACCGTGCCCGAAACGTGCGCTACAGTGCGCGTCGGGCGCCGCTACGCGCCGCGCCATCGCCCCCGCCCCCCGCCCCAGGTCCTGCTCTGCGCTCCATATGCGAGCGGAAACCGCCCGGAGGCGTCCGCGCGCAACTTGCGCGAACGCGATTTAAAAGAACTGCGCGCCGAGCGCGCGCGCCCGCCACTGCGAGGGCTCGCCTTTCCTGTCGCATAATCGAGGCGCGTGCCCACGCTGCGTTGGCCCGTCGGAATCGGCCCCCACATCTCCGTCAGACTCCCAATCCGGATCTTCACGTGACTCCGAATCGTCCTGCGCGCCCCCCCCGCCCGCCGCGCCCCGCCCAGCGCGGCCTCGCCCCGCCCTCGGGAACTTCCCCCTGCCAATGAATAAATAATGCGTTATTCCCACCACCTTGCACAACAAGGAAAACGGGCTCACCCGGGGACTGCGTGGAATCGCGGAGAAAAGTCCAAACCGTTACAACGAGACCTCATTGTCTTCCTCTCTCGCAACTGTGATTGCTCGGTCTGCTGGTTTCGCAGCGTTGCCCGCCCGCTCTGTCGCAGCGACCCCCCTGGACCCGAAGCAATCGCAGCTGAGAGGGCAACTAAATTATTCACCGCGTGGAGCTCCCCATCTGCGCGGATGTCTAGGCGCAAGAAACTTCGAATATAAACGAGCTTGAACATTGACGGCCCGGGGGAGGAGTCTCAGTGTGAATGACTTTGATTGTGCGCGAGCCCCCGTTGCACGAGTGAGTCTATGCGCGCGAACCTGCGCATGGCTAAGCGTAGGGTGAGAGTGCCTGCCCGTCAGTGGCCTGATCATGACTGGGCGTGACTGAATCCTCCTGGGGTCTCCCGGGGCTTCCTGGGGCTTGATCAAATCTCCTGGTGAACCTGGGGCCTCCTGGGGCCTCTCGGGCCTCTAGGGGCCTCTCGGGCCTCCCGGGGGCTGCTCCTCCTTGAGCCTCCCGGGGCTTCCTGAAACATCTTGGGGCTTCCGTGGGCCTTCCTGGCGCTTCCTGGGGACTGAGCCCCCTGACCCCCCCCGGGTCCTTCCTGGTGTTTCCTAGGGCTTCCTCGGGCATCTTGGAGCCTCCTGATGCCTTTTGAGCAAGACGGCGCTCTTCATTGGCGCGTTTGCGTTTCATATGTTCGAAGAGGCCCTGGAGGAGAGAGGCGCGGGGGGAGGCGCGACGGGGCAACGTCGCAAGAGAGGGCGGGGCGCGCCGGAAAAGAAGCAGCGAGGCAGTCTACGCCCCCCCCCCCCATTGCCGACTGGCCAAATTAGGTCACTGGGTCTTGACCTAGCGGCCCCTAGGACTGCGAAGCGCACTGTCATTTTCGCCCAGACAACCGCCTTCCCCTGCCCCGATCGGCACCGAGGAAGCCCCAAAAGAGCTCGAGACAACGGCGAGAGGGCCCCAAGACGGACAACCAGAGCCCTAACACGAGCTCGAGTGTTCTTCGGCCAGTCGATGCCGTTCGGCCGAAAACTCACTGATTGGAGGATTCGCATCTGTTCCCCATGCGTAAACTCATCCCATCTGAGGGGGGGGGGCCTGAGAATCCTCGACCCAAGTGTAACGATGCCTAAGATAGAGAAGGCGCTGGAGGCACAGCAACTCACAGGAGAGAAAGATAGGTAAAGAAATAAAGAAAGGGACGCTCAAACGTCCACCCACCCACCCGCCCGCCCTCCCTGCTCCATCTCCTTCCAGGCCCATGGAGATTCCTGTGAATAGGGGGTTCGCGTCTCCCGCATAGTTAACTCGCTGATGCTATGCTGGAATCATGCATGGGGGTGGTGGGTCGCTCGGTCCCTTGAGGCAGGCTGGGTCGAAGACTCCGCGGGGGCCAGATCTGCTGGTAGTCCTAGTGGTCCCTCGTATACAACGACGACGACAACGACGACCAAGACGACGGCGACTTCTTCTTCTTCGCTGGCTACTCGCTACCTGTCTCGGCTAGCCATTCGCGCGATCGTGGAACAAATGACGAAAGGACAAGATCCGGGCGCTTTAAAACCTCACCCACTGCAGCCGCTCTTCCACCCAAGTGTCTCGGATGCTTGACAAAAACTCCTGATCCTGAGCCTGGAAAGTCCAATGATGACCACAGGCGCGCACTTGGGGCTCCCACCTCCACGCTTTAAGCTTGCGTCCGTGGAGTTGGCCCCCGTGCACATTCTTTAATTTCCGCAAGTAGTTACAATCGCGGAAGCCGAAGGTTTTGAGCGCAAGGGCGCGTACCCCTGAAATCGAGCAACATGCCCTGCCCACTTGAAAGCACGAGTGACCGCTATACGGTCCCATCGGGGCAGGATATATTTCTTCCTATGCTGCCCCACTGTGAATTGAGTGGGTTTCATTAACTTTCGCCGACGGCCTCATCATCTTGAAACTGTATGCGCAGAATGCGCATCATCATCTGGATTTCTACCGTGCGGATATTCTGCAGATGGCGTTGCGTCAAAATGTGCGCCCCTATATTGTACATGAGGGTCGGAACTCCGACTTTATGCAATAATTGGAAAACGCTTTCGTAAAGAACCGCACCCACTGCAGAGAAACCGGGTATGCCGATTACCAACTCCCCAAGCCTGAGCAATCCGATGATCGACCTCAACAGCGCAGTCGTTGCTAAATGTTTGCTGGGCGCCAAAAACCTTGAAGCCCGCAGCCTTTGGCTTTCGCTGTACAAGGATGGAGGGCGGGGAATGGATTGGGAAAAAAGGACGACGAAGGGAAAAGGAGGTCACCTGTCATTGTCTCCGTCCATTCGAAATCTTCAAGTCCACGTGGAACTTCGCCCTGTGGATAAGATTGTGCCACTCGTCGGCCATCTCGGTCAGCATCTTGCGAGAAGTTCCCAACAACCTAAAATTATCGGCGAATATGAGAAACGGAACTCGTTGTATCTGCAACTTCGCCTTATAGACGATGGATTCGTATCACGATGTTCTGCTTCTATTTGTTGGAGGTCTTCGTGGTCTAAAGGGAAGCCCCAATTTCTCCGGCCAGCCACTGCCAAAAAAGGCTTCACCACTCGCCTGTCCAACACGACGTTGAACGAGTTCGGTGCCTCAGGATCCCCTAGGTGCATAGAGCGGCTCCGGTGAAATGGTGGAGAAACAGGGTTACCTGGCAAACGCACGCAGCTGGACGCCTTCCGGACCTCTCTCAACATGGCTGCGGTGATGATGCGAGGGACGTTGGCCTCCTCAAAAGCTGCTACCCACTCGTTGTGGTCAACGGTATCGTACGCCTTCCACATATCACCCACTCCCATAACCATATTCATATTGTGCTGAATCGCTTTCTCGGTGAGTTGGCGAAGGACGAAGTTGATTTCGCAAGACTGGAACACCCGACGAAAAGCAAATTGGCATTGATTGATCGGGACGTTTCGAAGATCAGCCAAATCAGACAACAACAACAGCAGCAACAACAACATGTACAACTTGAAAAGACCAGAAAGGGTAGTGATGCCCCGGAACTGTTTGATTGTCTTCGGCCGTTTAATATGTTATGGTAGTTGCAGTTCGTCTGAATCCCATACGTCATCGTCTTCACAACATGCTGCATTCATCAGCCAGATCGCGAAACACTGCGCCAAGATCTCGAAGACTTCGTACGGCGAATTTTGAAACACCTCAGCCACCAAGAGGTCTTGCCGAGAACAAGTGTTCCGTCTCCTCATCGTCAACGCGACGACGACGACGACGACAACGACGACCACGACCACGACGACGACGACAAAGACGACCACGACCACGACCACGACGACGACGACGATGACGACGACGACGACGAACCACCCCACAGCCACAGTGGGCCACAGTGGGCCACAGGGAGAGGGAGGGGTGCACCAGCACCCTTCACCACGCCACGCCCACAGGGCCACGACCACAGGGGGGGGGAACGATCTCATTCGCGAGGCATTCGCGAGGCTCACGGGCGTACCCATCCAGCGGAGGGAGGGGCTCGATCCCACATGCATTTGGGTGGGGGGAAGGAGGGGCAACTCTGGATCATATATGCATGTTCCTTCGGGCTCCGCGGGGCCTATCCCCACCTAGCAGGGCGGGCTGGTGGAGCAGAGATACCACTGCCCAGCGGGCATGGGGATAGTAGGCGGCGACATCCGAACCCTACCCCCACCACCTATCTGTTCTACTGAATCGATGGGAGGCGGGGATAGGGTTGACGATTCCGAATCCCACTTCCGCCGCCTATTGAGTTGTCCAAGTCGATGATCGGCGAAGATAGGTCTCGGATTTCGGCGCTGGGATGGGTCAGACGTGCTAAATGCTGGGGGAAACAAAAGGTACAGATACCGCTGCTCCGCGGAACTCTCCTGGGGTGCGTTCTGACCATGGCTTCAAGGCGAATCCAGCCGTAGCGACGAGGCCCTCCCAGGAGGCCGAAAAAGGGGAACACGGGCGAAGGGCAGCGGTATGGGTACCTTTCCTCCTCCGAGATGCCTGCTCTCGCCGCGCGATCCTCGCCGCCCTTGACGCCGCGCGGCCTGTCGTCGATCACCTGACCCCGCGGCTGCCGGGGCACTGCGCGCGCTGCCCGGGCCGGGGAGTCCCGCCGCCCTGGCCGAGGAGTCAGCCCCTCCTCCTAGGGACTCGTCCTGCCCCCCCCCCCCACTCCCTCTTCCTCCTCCTCCTCCTCCTCCTCCTTCTCCTCCTCCTCCTCCTCCTCCTCCTCCTCCTCCTCCTCCTCCTCCTCCTCTGGCATCATCCCTTCTCCTCCTCCGCTTCCTCCTCCTCCTTCTCCTTTTCGACTGGGGTGCTCTGCAAGCGGGCCTCTGGACCTCAAACCTGCCTCGCTGCCACGTTCCCCGAGCCGCAAGGCGCAGGAAGTGGAAATACCGAGGCTCCTCCTTCACTCCTCGTCCTCCGACCCATGGGCCCAAATCCGAGGAAGACAGGCGTGGAGGGGAGGAGGCCGGAAGACGGGCGAGACGGGCGCCCGATACTCGGCTACGCGCAAGAGCGACCCTTGGCAAGGACGACCTTGTAGTGTGCGGCCCGGGTGGCGGGCCCCTTGGGGACACCACCGGGCGCGCAGGCCGCTGCCATGGCGCTCAGCGATCGGGGGGGCCCGGTGGGGCCCGCGCCAGAGGTCACTCCGGCGAAAGTTGAGCAGGGGCCGACCGTCCCAGCATTCCTATAGTCCTAGCACGAAATGTTCTCACAAACCAAGAGTGTTCGAAGAACAAAAGCAATGTTCTTAGAATATTCACCCGATGTGATAAACCAAGGCAGCCCCAACCAGAAAGGTTCGAAGAACAGTTCGTGGGAGCCGCAAAAGAGCTCTTAGAACGTTGCCTGGTGGGGCTGATCGGCGAGCCAGGCCGCTTCGCCACTGCTCGAGTGGGGCCCGCGCCAGAGGCCCCTCCGGCGAAAGGTCACTCCCGCGTGCCCCGCCCCGCTCCTCCGGGCGAGAGAGAGAGAGAGAGAGCGAGGGGAGGCCGGCGGCGCCCTGCCTCGCCCCGCGGCCCTCGCCTCCCCGGGGACGGCTTCGGCGCGCCCGCCCGCGCACGGCCGGCCACGGCGTCCACGAGCCCGAACTCCACGGCCTCCCGGACCGACATGTAGCGGTCGCGCTGGGGCACGGGCGCGCCCCGGCCTCCGCCCCGCTCCCTGCAGCTCTTGCCGCCGCTCGGACGCCCCTTTCCCGTGCAGCTGTCAGCGTGCTTTTTTCTTGGCTCGAGGGTCCAGGATGGTCCTCGATGGCTCTCGCCGAGAAGGAATGCACACCTCCGAGCGATGCCAGGGCAGCTGCTGCCTGCCGCCGGCTGCCTGCCGCCGGCTGCCTGCTGCTCCTCGCCCGCGCCCCGCGCCCCTCCGGGCGGGTGCTCACGGGGGGGTGGCCCACAGGGCGGGCGAAGAGAAGGGCCCAGAGCCAGAGGGTGCCCAAGAGGGGGCGAGGGCCCTTGCCTTCACCCCTACTTGGGCCCCCCCCAAGTGACCGCCCGCCCGATCGCCCTTGCCCGCGCCCTGCTCCTGCCCCTGGCCCCCCACCTCCGCCTCTTCTCCTCCTCCTCCTCATGCTGCTCCTCCCTCGGCCTCTTGCGGCTCCGCGCGCCCGTGGGCCCGGGGCGCCGACCCGAGGAAGAGCTGCGAGAGTTCACGGGTGTGCCGTGCTCTGCTCGTCGGACTGGGCAGGACTTAGCTATCGCTTGCTCAGCGGGAGCCCATCCGGTCGGCAGACCTGTTGCCAGGATCGGTTGTGCCCGGGGAAAGAACACTTGCCCTGGCGGAGCAGCGGAAACGCGGGACGACTGCTGGATTCAGGGAGAGATGATCACGAAGCCGGCAAGCCTGCCACGCCAACCAAATGTAACCGCTTGCTCAACGGGAGCCGTAATTACCCGAGGACGTCTCCAGCAACCTCAGAAGTGCGCCGCGGGGCTGCCGCAGCGGATTGTCAGGACTCGAACAGAAGGGGTCGGCGCAACAAAAATGTGTTACTACGCTTGCTTTCGCCTCCGCCGTATGAGCTCGGGGTTGTTGGGGCGACTTCGGCCCTGTAAGACACCTGCAAGAAAAGAGGCCAATGCACCACACTCTTCAGTCTTCAGAAGTGTATGTTAGCCATCGTGGACCCCAAACACTAAGGTATTGCACTGTGGATGTGCAAGCTACGTGGTCCAAGCTATGTGATGCAGTACGCGTGGTGTAAACTAGATGCGGCAAAGAGGCGGCAACCAGGCGGCAAGGTGACGAAACCTCGCCAGACCCACCCAGCGCATGAGGCGGCAACGAGGCGGCAACCGGGCGGCACAAGCGGCAGCGTGGCGAAACCTCGCCGGACCCACCCCAGCGCACGAGGCGGCAACGGGTGGCAACGAGGCGAAACCTCGCCGCACCCACCCAGCGCACGAGGCGGCAACGAGGCGGCAACGAGGCGGCAACGGGCGGCGACGTGGCAAAACCTCGCCGTACCTACCCAGCGCACGAGGCGGCAACGACGGCGCAACCGGCGGCAATGTGGCTCAACCTCGCCAGACCCACCCAGCGCACGAGGCGGCAAGGAGGCGGCAATGAGGCGGCAACGTGGACACCCTAGCCAGAACCAACGAATCCCTCAAGGAGACAAAGGAGACTCCTTCAAGCGCAAGCGCTGTTTGGAGAAAACATGCACCACCAGAAACTTTCCGAGCTCCGCGCGGATTTCTTGGATCGGCGCTGGGCCCCCCTCCCTGGCGCGCGGAGCACGCCAGAGGCGGCGCAAGAGGCGCCGCCAGGGAGCCAGCGCTGATCCAAGGAAGCCGCGCGGAGCTCCCAACATGTGTGGTCATGCATTGCTTCTTTTTCGAGCGCTAGCTTCCGACTCCGCCTCGGAAGGCCTGCGGGAAGCGAGCAGCCTCTCGGGAACACTCCAAGGGGTGGGCGGCTCCTGGATCGCGGCGGCTATCTCCTCCCTGGAGCGGCCGGTGTTCGCGGCCATGATGTCCTCCAGGGCCCGCTGGGTGTGCTTCAGCTCCTCGATCTTGATGACCATGTCCGTGGCCTGCGGTGAGGGGCAACGATAGGGGGGGGGAGACAGGCTCGGTGGGGGAAACATCGACCTGGAATCGGCCATGCATCACCGATAGATCGGTGCCGGGCCCCCGACGGCGAATCCGCACGCTCTTGGGCGGGTTGGGGCTATCAGACCCCTATCGGCGATCAGTGGGCGCTCGAGGGTCGATACGCTCCCCTCGATCCCTGGTCGTCGGGCCATACCTCCGCCCTCCGGCGGCCCGTCGGGAAGATTTGGGCACCTCTGGAGCGCTCTCGGCGAGGCGCAGCTGCTGGGGAGCATCCCGAGGCTGGATAAACGCCGAAGGAGCAGAAGACGCCCGAAAACCACCGAGAGCCGACGACCTGAGCGTCTTCACCTCGGTGGACATCTTGCGCCGGAGCAGTAGACAAACGCTCGGGCACTAGGGATCGATTGGATCATCTGAGAGCAGTGTCGCTGGTAAACGTTGTGTAAAACCGAAAACTCATTGCATAAGTGAAAACCCATTCCAGTTCTGGCAACGGTTCTGGACAGAGCAACGCAAGTCCCCCATGGCATACCACTCAAATAAACTTTCCGGAACTGCTGCATGAACAACTAAGCGGAGCTGTCGTTTCCGTTCTGTTCCAGCACGTTCAGCGCGACCGTTTTGCCATGGAGCTCGAGCATCTGTCGGAAATAAGCACGCAGCGTTGGTTTGCATGTCATCGGCGAACGTTCCCTCAAACACCGTTCCAGGATCTACTGCAACTTCTGGCCTCCCATGTGCGTGCAAACGCTTGCCATACTACATATGTTTACTTCCCTGTCCCCGCACGTCCAACCAACTGAAAGGACGTGCCCCAACAAGAAATATTGACCCGCAGGTGCGGTGCATCATCAAGTGGGCACTTGACTTCAACCATCGATAAGACATGGGAACAAGCAGCATCATGGCGGAGAGCATAGGGTCACCTGTGCGCATTACACTCGTCGCATTTGAAATTTTCCGGTACCCAAAGAGCTACTTCAGGCATAGCGTTGCCCCGCTTCAGAATTCAAGCAGAACCTCGATTTCCAAGGTGACCAGCGTTGTCGCGAGCAAACTTGACATCGGTTGACTTGTCCGTTGTAAGTGTCCAGTCGGGCTGAACGGGCCCTTCGCCATCGTCACCCGGTTCGGAATTTGGGTCATCGACGAGAGCTTCTTCAGGCGCATTTTCTTCAGGGACCGCTTCCAAAGGAAGACTGAGACTGATGCTGCCCACTGATCTCACCTGCTTGATCTGCTTTACCTGCTGATAAAGAATCGCGCCAATGCCGTCCTCATCGGGCTCCGAAGATGAAGTATATACTATATACTCCACTGGTGGTCTGCCACAGAATCAGTCGCAATTTTCCACGCGGGCCTCGGCTGCTTCCACCGAGTCCTGCAAAGCGGCGGGCTGCCAGGGCCCCTGGGGCACCTCTAAGCACAGCCGCGGGCGCGCCAAATGCCGGGCCGGCCAAGCCCGCGCAGGTAGCGCCCGGAGAGATAAGCGGCCCAACCTGATGAGACAGGCAACCTGGGAAAAGTACTCGCCAAAAAGGCGCCGACGAACGTCGAGTCAGCGGCAGCTTCGCGGTAGAAGAAGCACGGCCAGTCCACGCCTACACCGGGGCGCGGCCGCAGGAGGAGTCGGACCAAGAAGCATCGTGACTGAGTTCGGCATCATCCTCTGAGTAGACAACCTCTGTCATCCGCTCGTCGGCCCAGTCATCTGCAGGTGGTGGGCCGACGGAGCCAGCGGGGGCAAAAGCCTGTCGCGGGGCTCGCGATGAACTCGGACATGTGCCCTGCGACCGTTAAATCATCCTCTGCCCGCGAACCATTCAAACGTCGCCCTCCTCCGCGATCGCCTCGATGCCATTCCCACCCACGATGTTCTCGCGCATCTCGCGTTCTGCCGCGCGCAAGGCCAGGCGCCTGAGTCGCTGATGCGTCGCCGGCCCGCCTGACTCGCGAGTCTTCGCGCGCCGCTCGCAGCGCTGGAAGTCCATCGCGTAGACCCCCCTGAAGGCGCGACCCGCGCGCGCCCCGAACGTCGCCCGCCCCCAGTGACGCGGCGCGCCCGTGCTGATGGTGCCTTCGACAAGAGGCTTCGCCCAGCGCATCTGGCTGGGAGTCGCGCGCCCACCAAGGGGCCCTGGCGTTGCTCCGGTGGCGCATAAACTCTTCGGGATAACTGCGCGCGCGTGGCCTGCGCGGTCTTTCTAGCGCCCGCGCCGCCAGGCCCTCGGCCCCGGCCTCTCGCCCGCCGCAAACCGCTCCCCGCTGGGGGCCTCCAGGGCTCGAGAGAAAGGCATCTGGTCGCGGGTCGGAGGCGCGGGTGGCGCAGCCTCGCTGCCCACCCGGACTCCTGGCGCCCCCGAGCAGGCTCTTGCAGATGATCGCGCCGACGCGCGCCTCCGCGCGGCGCCCAGTGGCCGCGCGGTCCAGAATGGCGAGTGGCTCCAGGCGCACTTGGCAGCATGTCCACGGCCGCTTCTCTGGGGCCAACAGAGATTGGCTTAACCTGCCGGCGCTCGGAGGTTCCGGCCGCGGCCCCTCCTCGGCGAAGACGCGCCCCGCGCGATTCAACATCGCACGAGATGCCAGGAGAGGGGGCAGTGGGCTGAGAAAGTCTGGTCTGCGCCGAGGGCGCCTGCAGATTCACGTGGAATGCGGCGCCCTCAGGCTCGAGTCTGCGGAGAGACCGCTTGGCTTTTCTGCTTTCTCCGCCAGCCATCATCGGGGCAATCAGACATATTGATCGCGATGCGTCTGCCTGATCCTACCTCGCGCGCCCTCGATTGACTGCCCTCGAGCGCCTTCGAGGGCGCCGCTGGGCAAGTCAAGCGCCGCGCCGAGCTGCCTGAGCATCTTCACTGCGCGCAGGAAGTGCGCGTCGCAGGCAATCAGACGCGCCGCGAGAGTACCGCAGTTCCTCGCCACGGAGACCGGAAGGGTCCAGCTGGTGAGAAACGTGGTAGATCATTCGACGCCCATGGCGTCCATGTAGAGAGTCGGCGCCTGTGCTGGATTCAAACTGTAGGTATCTCTAAGATATCTCACCATTGCTCAAACTGGTCTTCGCCGCAGACTCCACGATGAGCTCCGGCATCCACCAAGCCGAAGCCTACGTGGGCGTTGAGTCCAATGACAGTCTGTTCGCCAGCGTCGGCAGTGGCAAATATAGTAGAAGATAAAAGAACTAACTCCAGACTGGGTCGTAGGTTCTCGTTGACAAGCGTCGCGCAAAGCGTCGTCTGCTTCGAGAGGGCAGCCTGGGAACCGCCGAAACCTGCTCGCCGTTTGCGCCCTCCCTCGTCTGGCTCGTTCGCGCAGTCCCGAGCCCAGTGCCCCGTCTTGCCGCGTCGGGCGCATTTCGAGCGACTCGTCGGTTTGTGTCTGTCCCAGCGCTTCAGCCGAGAACGTGCAATTTATCTCCCTTCGACGCATTCCCTTGCAGAAACCTTCGGACTTGCATTGCGGCTTCCGCGCGTGCAAGCGACGTCGTGCCTGACTGTAGTTGGCGTTGCTGGCGACGGCCTCGTCTTCGTCCAAGACCACATCCTCGGGCATGTCTCCAACTGCGAAAAGCACGTGCTCGTCGTCCATCTACCTGAGGGCCTCATTCACGACGCCGTCTTCCTCGTAGGACTCGGGCAAGGGAAGCAAAGACTGTTCCATGACACGCCAATGAGAGTCATCGTGCTCAGACTCCAGGTCATCATATCCGTCCTCATCTCCTCGGTATCCGACGAAGTGTGAGCCGGGGCTCATCGCATGAGTGCCATGGCCCCCTTTGCCTGAGGGTAGTGGTCGTTCAAGCTCCTGGAGCTTCTCGCGCGCCAGGTCAATGTCATGCGATCCGTCAGTCCAACGCTCAACCGCGTCCTAAGCGGCTTCGCTGAGCAAGGATTATCTGAGAAACATACATATTCTCAGCTCCTCTGGTTGGGCCACGTGCTTCTTGAATGCCCTGGGAGAGCACTCGCTCGCGAACAATATAATTGACCAGAGACTCGTCTGGCTTACGGTTGGCGTCGTCACAGGAGTAACAATCGTCCAAATGCTTTCGGCATCCTGCGGTTCTGGAAATCGGCAAGAGTCTTCTTGATATGTTTGATCACAACTTGCGCACAGTCCTCCAAAACTACATGGTGTTCGGTGAATTCGTTGATGATGAATCGGAGGTTTGGCGCAGCGGTAATTGAGGTACCTATGTTGTCTCTTCAAAATTCTGGTCGTCGTGAGCCTCATGTACACCTCTTTCATATAAGGATCTAAACAAGTATCCGGATATTTTTCCATCCCAGGTGGGAAGTAGGTCGTTCGGAATGTCTGGTGCCTCCGATTGTTCTGACAATTGCCCCCTTCTGACGATCAGAAAATCTTGCAATAGCATCTACCAAATAAGTCAGAATGAACGGCGTAGCCTGTCCCCGCAGCGGTATGGGGCTGTGTATCCCTCCTGGGCTGTGGAAGCCAGCGGGCCCAATCTTCATCTGACGAGTCCACTTCGTCATCACCGTTCCAGGGAATATTTTCGTCCTCCGCCTCCTGCCCAAGGATCCTGTCATGGTAATACCCAAAAATCATCGGATGTTTTTTTTTTTTTTGAGAGACTGAGCGTCGCCTGGACGCTCCATGGCGGCGCTCGACGCAAGAGGGTGTGAACCGGGAGAAACATAATGATCGAACGGAATATGTCGCCCGAATCGAGTGGCAGGGGGGTCAGCCTGACTCCCCTCGTGGATTGGAACCACGCGCTCCGCTGCCACTGTGGAATGTACGGGGGTAACTGTATGGAATACGGAGAGAGAGAGAGAGAGAGAAAGAGAGAGAGAGAGAGACACGACATACAAGTAAGGAGTCCCGTGCTATAAGAGCGCACGTTCTCTTTCCTTGTACGGGGAGTGATGGAGAATCAGCACGAAACAACAAATAGATCCGGAATCCCAAATCAAAGATGATCGGGAGGAGGAGGAGGAGGACGAGGCGGCGGAACGCCAACGAGGAGCTGCTCTTCTGCCCCTCTCCTGGGCTCGGAGCGGGGCGAGCTGAGACAACGGCAGCTCAACATGGGCCCCTGGACGCCTCCCAGGGGTCCAAATCCAAACCCAGTTTTCCCAGCCGCCCAGCCGTGGCGACGGGGGCTCCCACCTCCCGAAGGCCAACTTAGGAGGCGCGGGGGCCTGAACTGGCTGGAACGCCAAAAAGACAGTCCGGAGGGAGGATGGAGTCAAATCCGCTCCACAATAATCCTCGGACCCCTCCGCGTATCTGGTGCAGGTTCTCCCACTGGATCCGTTTCTGACGGCCCCCGGGGCCGAAAACGACCCTTCGAAGGCCGAACAGGAGAAACCTTCCCGAGCCCAGCGCCTCGAACCTGCCTCCCCTTCCTGCTGGCCCTGGAACCAGTTCCGGGCCACCTCAGACCTCAGACCCCAAGCTGGCTCCAAGGCCAACCATCGCTGCTTCGCCTCGCCCTCCTCTCCTGTGGGGGGCCGCTGGAGGTGCCCCTGGCCCAAGGTGCCCGCAGCTCTTCGCTCCATTCTCGAGCTTGGCGGGCCCCTGCCGTAGGCCTCCTGAGGGGAGCTCCGGAGGTCGCGGGGGCCGCCTTTGAGATCCCCGGGGGCACCTTGGGCCGGGGGCACTCCCGGCAGCACCCGATCTCCTGGGCGGGCCCCGGCCTGCAGCTTCGGGTAGGAGCAGCTGGGCTCGTGGACCATCACAGGGGAAGGAACAAAATGACATGAACATAAAAACTCAGAGGTCCGCGCGGATTTCTGTGATCGGCGCTGGACCCCCTCCCTGGCGAGCAGAGCGCGCCAGGGGTGGCGCCGGAGGCGCCGCCAAGGGGCTCCAGCGCCGATCCGAGACATCCGCGCGGACCTCCTCCTCCTCCTCCTCCTCCTCCTCCTCCTCCTCCTCCTCCTCCTCCTCCTCCTCCTCCTCCTCCCTTTCCTCCTCCTCCTCCTCCCTTTCCTCCTCCTCGCACTCCTCCTGGTCTTTCATGTTTACGTCGCTGTCCGTTCCCCCACATCAGGCGCGTGTTCGGGTACGCGGCCCTGTGGCCCGGCGCCCCGGCGGCCAGCAGCAGCGCCGCGATGGAGAAGCAGCGCCCGTACCTCGGCCGGCGCGTGAGCCGCACGCCCGCGAGGCGCCGGCGCGCTCCTCGCGCGTGCCTCCTGCGGCCGGATCGTGCCGTGGCGACTTCCGGGCTGGTCTTGGACACCTCTGAAGGGGCCCTGGGACACACAAATAGATACACACAAATAAAAGGATTCCCCGCATTTTCCTGTATTTTCTGGGTTTTTGTCTTCGCCCCCACTTCCCATATTTTCCCAGATTTTCCTTGGAATCGACGATTACTTGTGTCTGTGTTTTTTCCCCTCCTGAACCTCGGGCGGGTGGTGATGTCGGGGGTGACCCAAGAGGGGGGGGGGGAAGAAAGGGGCCCCAAAGGGCGCCCTCCAGGACGCCTTTTGGGCCCCCCCTGTCTCCAGAGGGGCCCTTGTACGGGCCCTCTGTCTTCACCCACCATTACGGTCACCTCCCGTTGCTACCCGCCCGATGGTCTCTGACACTGCGTGGGTCGTTCCACCGTGAACGAGCGGCGGCTGCTCGATCGCCAGATCGTTTCGTTGCCGATTCCAGGCCGCTTGCGGCGTTCAGCCTCGAACGCCCGCGCGGATGTCGCCGTCGCGTCGGCACGACACGAAGCTACCGTGCGGTAGGTTCGCGCGGCGTCTGCGTGCGCAAAGATCTTTGACACCGCGCCGATCGGTCCACCTGGAACCGATCGCGGCCCCGATCGTCCAAGGTCGAATTACGGTCCCCCAGTACGCTCCAATAAGGCTCCAAGAGGCCACCCAAGAGCGTCCCAAGAGGCCAACATCATGGACTTTCCATCTGTGTATGAGGTGTTTGCGCATCATCGACTGTTCGAGCTGCCGGTGCTCCAAGACGGCCCAAGAGGCCCCCAAGATCGCTCCAAGACGGGCCAATTGCCCTCAAAGAGGGCCCAAGACGGCCCAAGAGGCCCAAAAGACTGCTGAGGACGGCCCCAAAGGGGGTCCAAAGAGGGCTCTATATACGAAGGGAACTAGAATTGGCATTTCGAGCCCTCCACCCCAACATGACCACCGAGACCGCCTTCCAGGAGGCCCCCAAGAGGCCCCCAGAGAGGCTCCCAAGAGGTCCCCAGGAGGCCCGCAGAGGGCCACAGGCCCCTAGGCGCATTAGAATATGCATCCACGATCCTGGCACGGTAGCGGGATGGGCCGAATTATATATATGTATATATATGTGTATACACACACTTATGTCTTGGTATGCATTGGTATGAAGTAGGACGGTACACACAAGCACACACACATACTTACCCATCACAGTGTCAAAGGCATGTCATACAGCTGTGTCAGGCTCCTTCGAGTTCACTGTGCCGAATATTGAAGGGGCCCAGACCCTGGATTCACGGGAGCTCCTTGACGCTACTGGGCGCTTTCGGGGCGACTCGCGTGACTTGTTCAGATGCCTCGGGAGCGTGACTGGGTTTCCATATCTTCAACATGGCCTGAGCTGGTCTCTGGGTCCGTCCTGGAGCCCTCCTGGAGGCCCTGGGGACGGCCCCAGAAACCCACATCTTCGAACAGCAGTTGTTGAATGTGTGATTGTACGATTATGGGGTACTAAACTTGTGAGCGCCGATCACGGACCGCAGAGAGGCCCCCAAGAACCCCCCACGAGGCCCCAACAGACATCCCACTTGCCTCAGAGAGGCCCCCAAGTGGCTTCCACTACGCTCCCCAGAGGCCTGCCCAAAGATCCCAATAGGCCTCTGAGCGGCCTCTTGTCCACGACCCAGGCACCGAGCTACTCTCCGAGCTGGATTCTCTATCAACTTGTCGCTGAGCCTGTCCCACCCACATTATTGGGCGCGAGTGAGCTCTGCTCAAAAAATCGTCAGCGCACTGCCAGAACTGCCCACTAAGCAGGCGGCGCGACCGTCCTCACCGGCATCGAGACGTGAGACATAATGTCCAGTATGGCAAGGCCACTAGGAGACTCTTTTTTCTGTTCTGGTCAGCTCCTCCTCCTCCTCCTCCTCCTCCTCCTCCTCCTCCTCCTCCTCCTCCTCCTCCTCCTCCCCCTCCTCCTCCTCTGGGCAACGAGAAGTGCGATCGCATCTCCAGCCCGCTGCCGAGCGCGGACTGGAGCTGGCCACTGCTCTCGCCCTCTGTGAAGGGGCCCCAGGACACACAAATAAATACACACAAATAAAATGTTCCCCAATATTTTCCCATATGTTTTGAATTTTTGTCTTCCCCTCCACTTCCCATATTTTCCCATATTTCCTGGGAATGGACGATTAATTATGTCTGTGTGTTTTTTCCCCTCCTGACTCTGGGGAGCGGCAGGAAAGGCAGGAAGAGGACGTGTCCCGCACCGGGACTCTTTCAACGGGTGCGGCGACGATCCCGGCGAATGGGCCACGTTCTCGTGCTGTGCGCTCCGAGACTTCCCCCGCACCTCTTCATCTCTGCGTCGAGCTCGGGGGGGAGGTGAGAGGGAGAAAACCCTCTCAGAAGGCGGCGGGGCTTCTCAGAAGCCCTCCGGCCTTCTGAGAGGTGACCTGCGTCTTCGGGGAAGGCTCAGACAACTTCTCAAAAGGCCAGGGGACGTTCGAGAAGGCCCGCCACCCCTCTCACTTCCCCCCCAGGCTGGCCCCCGATCAACTCAGCATCACAAATCCTCTTCAGACCTGTCACACCTGCTCACCATCAACAAAGCCACTAAGACGTTCCACTGCAACCAACAGAACTGGCTACACCCCTCGCGCAACAGTCGTGCAGCCGGGAGTAATACCACAGAGGGGCTTGGGTGACAGGGGGGCCGCTGACCCGCATGAAGGACAATCAATGGGTATGTATGGCTCATGCTCGATGTCCTCGGCCTGGCTCCACAAGCAATCCCCTCATTACAAATATAGGCAACCAGGTGTGAACCCTACCCTTGCAGGTCAGATTTCTGAGACGCCGGCTGGGGCTGAGAATTTCGAGGATGTCCGCAGCCAACTAAAAAAGAACCCAGCGGGGGTTTTCAATACCCCAGCGTCGATCGGACCCGCAGGCGTGAGGTCCACAAGTGGTCGCGTAAAATCTCAGCTGCATGCAGAAGCCAAGCGCTCCTGTGAACCACGCCCCCGCCGGAGTTTATGAATATTGTAACCGGCGCGTGGGGGTCGTCGGATTCTAAGAAGAGCAGCTGCTGGATGATCACCTTGCAGGCGAAATAAGACGGGCCACACGATCGGGGAATGTTCAGACCGTCCAAGATGAGCAGACGGACGACGCTTACAGTCGCCGTGCTACCAGTAGGTCGGGCGTCCCCCTGCAGGCGGACTTTGGACGAACAATTGAAACAAAGTCCCACATAAAAAAATACTCAGACATACTCAAACGATCGCCCCAGATCGTTGCTGGACTGTTTTTGGATATTCCTCCTGTAGATCGGGAGCGGCCAAGAAGGGGGTGTCCAAGAAGGGGGGTGCAAATCATGACCGGCGGCATGTGCGCGGCCCAGCGGGGGGGGCCAGGGACGTGATGAAACAAGAAGAGGCGCCATGAAATCTGGGGAAATCTCATGGACCCCGCCATGATATCCACCCCCCCCTAGTCATCACCCCCCCCCCTTTTCCGCCCCCGAGTAGAGGGACGCGCCCCCGACTCGATGCTGCCATCAGGGAGCGCCGACGAGGGCACGCAGGGGCACTTCTGGCCACAGCGAGCGCCACGACCAGGGTTAAAGGGGCCCTGGGACACACAAATAAAGAGACACAAATAACAGGATTCCCCATATTCTCCTATATGTGCTGGGTTTTTGCCTTCCCCCTCACCTCCCATATCTTCCCACATCGTCTGGGGGATCGGCGCTTCATTGTGTCTGTTTGGCTTTTCCCCTCCTGAAGGTTTTTTGGCTCTTCCCCACGTTTCCCTATATTTTCGGGCTTTTGTCTTCCCCCTCACTTCCCACATCTTCCCGTATCGTCTGGGGGATCGGCGATTCATTGTGTCTGTTTGGCCTTTCCCCTCCCGAAGGTTTTTTGGCCTTTCCCCATGTTTTCCTATCTTTTCGGGGTTTTGTCTTCCCCCTCACTTCCCATGTCTTCCCATATTGTCTGAGGACTCGGCGATTCCTTGTGCCTGCTTGGCTTCTTCCCTCCTGAGGGCTCCCCGACGGGTGGAGCCCGGGCAGGCCCCGCGGTCCTGCGGCAGTCCCTTGCCTGGCCGGGACGCCCCGGGGGGCGGGGGCGAGCGCGGCCGCTGTCACCACTCCTCCGGGCTGCACGTATGGGGAGCCCACAAAGGACGTACGCGCCCAGCTATGTGCATGAGCACGGCCCCTCGATCCGCGAGACTGGCCGCGTCATACGAACATTTGCGCATCGCGCACTCTCGAAACCAGCGTGGATGCATGTACATGTACGTCCTTCTTTCGCTCCTGAGACGTAGGGGGAAAGGGGGGGGGGAACCATCAAAGCGCCACCAAGGGGAGGAGAGCACGATGAGGGGAATGAAAAAACCGGGAAGGGGTAGGGAACACAGGAGTGTGGGGGGAAGGGGCGGCCCACGACGAGGAGAAGAAGGGAGGGAGGGACGGAAGAAGCCGAGACGAGAGAGGGAGGGGGGGGGTGGAAGAGCCCCTCCCTCCCATCCCTGCCGACCTACCTCACTCTCACTCCATTCCCTCTTCCCTACGTGCCCCTGCCTCTCTCCCCCTCTGTCCGCATCCCTGCGTCCGTCCCGTTCCCATTCCTCCGTGCCCTCCCTGTCTGCAAGCATTCTCCATCCGTCTTCTCCTCGCCCCCAGCCAGACATGAAGGGCAGCAACATCCCTCCACCCTCGAGGCCCTCCCTGACCTTGGCGCTGTCGTCATTGATGTCGCCAGTCATGAAGATGCGCCGTAGCCTCCGCGCGAAGGGACGCATCGCGTGCGCACCCCGACTCCTCATCCTCCCCACTGCCTCTTGTATACTAGATGGTTCCCAAGGCTGTCAGGTGCGATGCGATGCGACCACCGTTGCGGACGGTGCCTGGGCCTAGCTCAGACCAGATGGGTGAGGCCGTGGCCTCGAGAATCTGGCTGGTTTGGATACACGTAATTTTGGATACACGCAATGCGAAGCACATAACTTACCCTACGACGCACACAACCCATCGGCACCAAGGGATGAGATGGGGCGTGCCGAAAATAGAAGGACAGCAGCACTAGAGACGGTGCACGGCGGATATCTATATCGTGCGAAGTGTACGTGGCCGACTCGCAAAAGGCCAGGAGTCATTGTACTGGGAAGGAGAAGCAATAGGGAGACATCGCGGTGGATCCGCACTGTGGGACCCCAAATTTCTTCCCCCTCCCAGCAGCTCTCAAAAGTGGCGACATGTTCACACTTCGCAGCCCCCTTGGGAAGGCGAGGTCCCGCTTGGGTCTGCTTGGGGCCCCAGTGTGCGGGCTCTCCCAGCAGCCCTCGAGAGTGGCGACGGTTTCACACTTCGCAGCCCCCCCCCCAGGGATGGCGAGGTTCCGTTTGGGCCCGCGTGGGGCCCCACTGTGCGGGCTCCCCTAGCAGCCCTCGACAGTGGCGAGATCTGCGACTCTTGCAGCCATGCGCCATACTTGTCGTGTGTGTGTGTGTACTGCCATCCAGATGCCGACTTGGTGAATCCTCATGAGGTGCTCTGCGCGTCGCGTCGCTCGATGGAGGTATTCGACCCCAGGTTCCAACGGGTCTGCAGCTGTGCTGTCCTCGCCGCTGTCGCTATGCATGTCGGGCGTGGCCAGTGTTTCGCGCTGAAGTGGCTTGCTGCCCGCGTCGTCACTAGTGCTGTTGGTGCTGTGATCGTTGTCTTGTGTCTCGTTGTCTGTGCTGGGGGGACCCAGGGGGGGAGGGGATAGGTCAACACCTTGCGTTACACCCCTCTTCCGAGGGCGCGAGAAGACCGGAGCCCTAGACCCCGTCTTTTTGCTGCATCTTTAGGGCCGGCCCTCCCTCCGATCGAAGCTGGGCCAAAACGCCCGGCTAAAAAAATTGAGACGCCAGGACCTCAGGGCACGTGCTCAGATTCAGACTGCAGGTCAAGATGTGCCGGGGGAGTGCTAGGGCTCCCAACTTCGCGCTTCGCGCTCCGCGAAGCGCGAACAACTTCGCGCTGTCGCGCCCCCCCCCCCCAACGGGAGAAAGAGAGGACGAGGAGGAGGGGGAGAAGGAACGAGGACCGCGAAGCGCGAATAACTTCGCGCCCTCGAGGGCGCCCTTGGGGAGGCAGGTTTCAGCAGGGGCGTCCAGAGCCGCACGGCGGCGATTCTCCGCGCGCTCTTCGGCTGCCGGGCGCCGGGCGCCTGGTGGCCCCCGGAGAGATCCGCCGCCGTGCCCCGTTGTAGCGCCCCCCCTCCCGAGGCCACGACCCACCCGCGAAAGACGCAGCGAGAGGCAGTAGGCCCGCGCTCACGAGGCCACGATCCGCGTTACCTAGGCCACAATACCATGCACAGCAGGATGGATCCGCGCCCCCGAGCTTCTTAGACAGTCGAGGCAGGCCAGAAAGACCGCCAAAATGGATGGTCCAAGATGCTTCCAAGATGGACCAAGATCGACCCAAGACGAGCGAGGATGGTTTCTTCTTATTGGTCCTATTATTATTCTGATTAGCATTATTCTTATTATTCTTATTACCCTTATTATTATCATTATTATTATCATTATTATTAGTATTGTTATTATTACTAGTAATATTATTATTATCAGTGTTATTACTACTATTACTACTACTAATACTACTATGATCATGATTATTATTATTGTTATTATTATTAGTATTGCTAGTATGATTATTATTATTAGTATTACTAATATTACCATTCGTATTACTATTATTACTACTATTCGTATTATTGTTGTTATTATTATTAGTAGTATTAGTATTCTATGATTCGTATTATGATTATTATTATTATTGTTTTTATTATGATTATTTGTATTATGATGTGATTATTACTATTGTAATTCTTATGTGGGAGTCTTCACCCTTTCGGGCGCGCTGCAGCTCCAGACGGCCTGGGGCCTTCAAGGTGGCCCGTAAACGGTCCAAGAAACATAAAGCAGGAACCTGATCTTTCAAGGCGGCAGCAAGACTGCCCAGGACGGCCCCACGAGGGCCCCAAGCTGGCACGAGAGGACCTCCAGAGGGGCCCGAGGCGGCCTCAGAGGGCCCCATCGACGGCCCGAGGCGGCCGCAACAGACCCCCCAGACGGCCAAGAGGCCCTCAAGATGGCCCACGAGAGCCCCAAAACGGCCCACAGAGGCCAAATGATACAATTGCACAAATAATAACCCCCGACACTGCCCAACAGGAGCCCACGAAGAGACGGAAGAAATCGAAGAGGACGACCAATGCGGTACCAGAACCCCTGGCACAACACATAGTGGCATGATACGGCTGCCTCGAAACACGAGGTGTCACACGCTGCATCCTCCTGTGCGCCCCCGAAACAATCGCCACACAAATTGCTGGTCTGACACGGCGGCGGGACTTGCCGCAGGCATCTGGATAGAGTAAAAGCTGGTATTTGGGGAGTTGGCTGTCGAGATGCTGATTCGAATGCGACCGCATGCGTTTCCAATCGGCGCTTACTCGCGGGTCGTCACATGGCACCTCCCTTTAACCACCCCCGCGCCCTCCCGCCCCCACTCACCCACCCAACCACCCACCCCCCTCACCCCCACCCCCCCCCATCCCCACCCCTCCCACCTTCCCCACCCCCCCAACACCCCCCACCCCCAAACCCTCACCGCCCCCCCTCCTCACTTCCTATGATTAAACACCCCCGCATTTCTTTCTAGCCGACTAGCCGACTGATAATAAACCCGCCATCCTCAGTGTCACAAAGCGACACAAACTCAATTTTTGTTCGCCGACCTGTCGTCGCGTTGCGAAGTGTCGCAGGAATGTGACGGAGTGAACATCGTCCGGGTAGCCCCACGCGGGTGGTCGCGACCTACCCATCAAAAACAATACAGAGTCAACGTTTTTCTTGTCAACGTAGATTTTCTTGTCGCCGACGCTGCGAAAATTGTAGTAGGAATAGGACGCGGCGCACATCGCGCGCGGACGCCTGGCCAACCCTACGCGGGACCCCCCGTCCTACCTGCCAAAAAACACAGCAACGTCGACGTGTTTCTTGCCAACGTGTACTTTCTCCTCGTCGGCGCTGCGAATCGCGTAGCGGGGATGGGACGCGGCGCAAATCGCGCAGGGACGCCTGCTCGTCAACATGGACTTTCTTGTCGTCGGCGCTGCGGCCCGTCGGGTTGAGGAGCTGGGCGGGCTGCAAGTCATAATGCCTCAAGCAAGCGCGGTTCGCTGCCAGCGCGCACGTTGTCGCGTCCGAACGTCTAGCCGCCCACGATATAAGATGAGCGACAGGCGTCGGACGCGACGCACTTGCTTCGTATGTTGCGGGAGGGCGGGTGGGAGTGGACGGAGCAATCTGGCTCGTTCGAGCTGGCTAAGTTGACACCCCCCACACCCCCCACACCCCCCACCACCCCCACACACACCCCTCACCCCCCACACCCCACACACATCCCCACACCAACCCCCCCCCACCACACACACACACACACGCACACACACACGCACACACACACACACACACACACTCACACACACACAGACACACACTCACTCACACACGCGCACACACACCACACCGACCCCCCCCCAACCCTCACCCCCCAATCCCCCCCCCCCACCCCCCCCATCCCCCCACACCCCCACACCCCACACCCCCACACCCCATAACCCCCCCACCACCACCCCCCCACCCCCCCACCCCCCCCCACGCACCCCCACGGCCCACAGCCCACACCCCGCACTCACACTCACACTCTCTCTCTCGCACACACGCACGCGCACACTCACACTCACATCCACACCCACACCCACACCCACAACCACGCCCACACCCACACCCACACCCACACACCCACACACCCACACACCCACACACCCACACAGCCACACACCCACACACCCACACACCCACACACCCACACACCCACACACCCACACACCACACCTACACACACCTACACGCACACGCACACGCACACGCACACGCACACGCACACGCACACGCACACGCACACACACACATACACACACACACACACACGCACACGCACACACAAACACACACACCAATACACACAAACACTAACACACACCAACACACACCAGCACATACACACACCAACACACACCAACCTACACACACCAACACACACACACACACAAACACCAACACCGAGACACACACACACACACCAACACACACGCACAAGCACACCACACCACACCACACCACACCACACCACTACAAACCACAACAAACCACAACAAACCACAACACACCGCATCACACCACACCACATTTCCACACAAACCAACACAACACATTGCACCACAACACAATAAAACACAACACACCACTCCACAACACAACACAAAACATCACACCACAACACATACAACACCCACAACACACAACACACACACACAACACACACACACACACACGCACACACACACACACACACCTCTTCCCAGGCGCGCGGAGCAGAGGTGTCGGGAGGGGGGCCCACCGCCGACCCAAGAGATCCACGAGGGCCTCCCGAAGTGCATCTGCGTGCGGCTCTTGCTCGGAGAAAGTGGAGGGGCGGGGTCTGAAGTACCATGTGGGACCTGCTCTAGAACATGCGGATCTACCCTTTCTCCGACCCTGCACTGCGCCGGGCGCAACGGCCGCATTGTCCATAGACGCATCCACCCCAAAAATGCCCACAGGCGTCAAGGCACCCGATGTGTCCATGGACGCTTTTGGCTAGAACGTGAGAGCGGTACTCGGCATCGGCCTCAGGTAGTGGTCTTTTAGAAGCAGGTAGACTTGGTCCCCCAAAGCCTGGAGTGGTCATGAGGGGGGCGGAACGCGATAGGGGCGG